TCAAACTTAGAGTTTTCTAGGATTCTATGATTTTTTTATGTTCTCCGAGAAAGCATGAAGGGGGAGGAAGAGCCTGAACTGCACAAGCAGAATGCTGCCCATACCTTTCATGCATTTCTTTAGCTTCTCTTTCTTTCCTCTTAATTTCCAGTTCAGCAAAGAGCTTCATGGTCTGTTTGTATACAGCTTGTTTGAACTGCAAAACACAAATCTGGTCTTAAAGTAATGCCTGTTAACACAGTTAAAGAAGTCTGGTTTACATAAGAATGTCAGGAGCACAAAAAGAATGAGAAGCATATCTGTGCCCGCATAACCCCATATCCTGCCTGGACAGGAGCGGCATAGGAAAGGGAATAAAACATTGCTGATTAATCCTGGCCCTGACATCAGGAAACAAGTACTTATTAACCTCACATTAGTCTCATTTTCATTTGTATTTACGAAGCTGTGCCCAAACAGAACTCGTCATTTCAAGCTCTCTTGTTCTTCTGTTAAGTCTTGCAATGTTACACTTGACAAAAAAAAAGGCAAAACGGTCACTGTTTACATAGTAATTTCCCAGTAGATCATCTTGGGAAGTAGTCTAGCATTGGCTTTGCGGTAGGAAATATCAGTATACTTAAAACAAACTTCATTATTAAAGAACAGCAAGAGACTCCTGAAAATCAATGGAAAATAAGATGGTTATGGAGTTACTATGGGGATACCAAGAGGAAAAAATCACTTTGTAGGAGAAAAAAGGTGAAGACAGTAAGACTAATGATGTCAGTGTTTGATAATCATCTCTCTCCCTGTTAAAGCATCCAATATCACTTAACTTTTTCAGATTAGAAACCAGGTAAGAAGAACTAAGTTATGTCATGTCTTTTTTAATCCAAGTGATTTGATGAAGAACAGCACATCTATCCTCAAGTGCTATATGGAAGAAAGAGCTGAAACAGCTCTTACTACAAAATTTCACCAGGAGCACGTTTTAGACATGCTGCAGCGGGTTCCACGCAAGCTCCACAAGAACATCACAGTTCAGCATTCAGAATACAACAAGAAATTAAATTCCAAAAAGGCTGCGTAGTTCACAAGCAGTAAAGACTTGCTCCAAGAAAAGAACTGGGTATTTTGACCCATGTTATCTTATGATATATTTACTCTTTACACTACAGTTAAAGTATTTTCTAAAATACATGGGTATTACCCAACACATGGTACTTACTCTACGGCGGCTTATCAGAATTTGTTCTTCTTTAAGTGCAAGCATTCACAACACTCTAACAAGTCTAACAAATACTTCTGTACTGGTTTTGACTCTTAATTACTCAAAACACATTCTGTACTCCCCAGTTTCTCTGAACAGTGTATGACTTACAACTTCAGGATCATCCTCTTCTACAGTGGGAGGTTTTCCATCCTTTTTCAGCTGCTTCTTTTTTTCTTTCACCTAAAGATACAGAACAAAAATAAGAGCCTAGAAAGTTTTATAAGGCTTACATAACTGTATCCAAGTAGTTCTGCACTCCTACTCTACTGTGGGGGAAGAACTCTGTGGGACAGTAAGCTCTTGATTTGGATTGACGTTTTATGTCAGATCAAAATCTCCTGGTCTTAGGTCGAGATAAACACAAGATCACTATACATGAACTGTAGTAATTAAAAATACTAGGTTGGATACTATTCATTCAACAGAATCCCTTTGTTGGGGTTTTTTCTTTGCTTTTAAGATATATTCATATCCAACACACACCATCCAAACCAGCAGAAAGTTTATTTTGCTTTGTAATATTCAAACACTAACAACAACAAGCAGAACACAAAGCGTTCCTTAGTTCAGAGTACCCAAGTTCTTCCACATCATCTGCTTTCTCAAGCTTGTGTTTTAATCCACTCACATCACTCATCTAACTTCTTGGCCAATGCAATTCAAGCTCCTTATCTTATAGGCCATTTTCCCCCAAACTTCCCCGTCTCCTGCTGTCACCACCTATTTTCTTCCACCTACACACACTTGAACGGCATCACTCACTCATAGACTTGAGAAAAATGTTTAGATGAGATCATGCGGTCTGACCTAATTATTTCAAGTACTAGATTTCACTGAATTATCTTGCACAGAGCTCAGGAGCAGTCTTGGACAAGGCATACTTGTTCAGAGCCCACCTGCGCAGCTTCAGCACAAGGTTTGCTCGACTCATCTTTCAATGATCTACACATGCAGCAGGTGTACCAAAAAGCAAATTAAAGGACTGGTTACCACTCACCCTCACCCTTGGACATTCCTACGGAATACTTACAGTGTGTTCCACATATTCTTTTCCTGCCTGTATCACATCCAAGGCCCTCTTCTTTTGCTCCTGATCTAGCAGCAACTTGTACGCTTTATCTACAGCTAACAAAAAGCATCAACATTAACAGCAGCAATAGTCACACTGACAAGGCATCACGAGATTGCTACTTCTTGACCACACAAATTGCACTTCCTAGAATTTGTGGGGTTTTGTTTGGTTGGGTGTTGTTTTGCTTTTTTTAAAACACATCTAGGTAAGTGATACCATGATTAGTCAAATGAGATTTGGAGTACAGTAATGGCCGGGACTGTCAGACAGCTCCTGGAGTTAGCAGGGTGAAAGTGTCAGTCCTACCAAGTGATTTGGTTATAGGGTATGAGGTAAGTTTGAGGTGCAAAACACCTCACCATAATGCAAAGCACAGACCTAAAATCATCGCATTCCTTCTGTGGTATGGTCTTTGAATAAGATGCAATGCACAGATTAAACAGTTTTTCTTGAACGATCTCGAAACCCCACGAATTGTTCGTCCCCATTGCAAACTGGGCACGCGAACATCGCCACCTAGTGAAGTTCTCTGCGGAAATGCCACCCCACACCTGCTGCTCCGGCACCGACAGCGTCTCTACAGTTACTCTTCTGTCTGTTGGTGGGGTTGCCACCCCCAATAAGCATTTAAAGCAGCTACAGAAAACCAGCAGTCCAACCACTACCACACACCAGTCCAGAAAAAGGGTTAGAGCATTACCTTCAAATGCCTTCTGGGCTCTATCTGCATCATCTTGGTTTTTGTCTGGATGCACCAATATTGACAACTACAAGAGAAAGGATCTTGCTATCAAGATCATTGTAACAAATGAAGACTATTTCAGGGATTTTTGTGAGAGGAGGGAAACAGTCTCCGACAGGAGGAATCACAGGGGATCGCATTCCTTTCTATACGGACAAATTAGCTGATAGCACGTAGAAGTATGCACCAGTAAAAGCATATAAATCCAACACAATGCCTGTAATAAACAGGCTGGCTGAGAAAAGCTGCAGTTTGGGATGCACAGAACAACAGAAACACCTTTCAGCTGAAGTGCCTAGGGGCTCATATGAACCCCTGGGTCACCCAAGTTTTGTCTTAAGAAGAAACAAACCCACAAAGATCATCCTCAACTGAAGTTTATCTTTTACTCAACAACGGCTCCCAAGAAGCTCCCCAATATCCCTAAGGATGTTTGAATATTAAATGATTTAAGAGCGGGTAAATTTTCCCTTAGGCTCCTTTACTGAAAGTTAAGAAAACTCCTTCCAGCAGAGACAGGACATTGATTGCTACCGTCTTTAGGGCAACTTTAGATGGTCTAGAGAGCACATTTTCTCCACCTTCCTCTTCCAGAGGAAGCGAAAGTTCTTTCAAACTCTCCCATATGGCGCTTTTTTTTTTTCAGACCTCTTACTTTTGCTGTTGCTGTACGGACTCTACACTAGGAAAGATGCAGACCAAGTAGAACGTTCAAAATCGGTCACAGTGCAGCAACTGAAATTGCATCAGTGCTGGAGAAGGCAAAATATTTGTTTCCTGAACTCTCCACATGGCACTTTCAAGTTCACAGGAAAACATTTGCCTCTGGTCAGCAGCACACAGCTGATTTACTCTGTGATCTGCTACAGCCAACGTCTTTTTCTTTCCATTCGATGTTCCATTCTGTATTTAGATGTTTGATTTCTTCAGTACACAATTCCATGCACTTTTCTCATTTCATCGCACTGACTTCGAGACATTTCCCTGTGGTGTTCTGTCAGCCTAGAGCTAAGACAGCCCCAGTTTATGGATTCGCAGAACTGGGAAGGCAGCAACAGACTAAAAGGTTATCCTCCCACTTCCCACACACAGAAGCAGCCCATGTCCCATCACCGATGTGGCAGGGGAGCCAGCACAGCCTCCTGTCTAAAGACAGTTCTTGATGTTCACACCAGCCCTCAAATACTGTGTCTCTCTGTGGCGTGGACTGATCAAAACCCCAAATTCTCCTACAGATCTGTCAGCAGAGTCGGTCTGGGGTAACGTTCCCTGCAGCAGTGCAGGTGGGTCAGTGAGCAGGACTGCTGCTGTTCCAGGTAACCCAGCCACCAAAAACAACCACTGAAGTTCTCAAAGAAACCTCACAGAAAATACACTTCTGCATCCAAGTCGTATATTTGAGAAAAACACCTTTCCCCAGCCCCTAATTTCTGCAAACGTTGACCTTCTCTTCGAAGCAAAGTTCGAGAAGCTGACTACGCACAGGCATGTCAGCTGGCGATAGCCAATCACACACCTTACAGGCAATGCAGCACACCATGCACGGCCCAGGGACACTTCTGCAGCTCTCCTCTTGCTGATACAAAGACTGTTCTAGGCATTTCTTCCCCAAATGTCTACTCCTTTACCCAGATACAGGTTTACCACCATTTTTCTTGTTCCCAAGCACAGCTGCGCAATCTCTACAGAGCTTCTAGTTTCCTTCCAGAGGTTTCAAGTGCAAAAGCCAAATACCTGCCGGAATCTTTTCTTTATTTCTTCATCTGTGGCTTCAGGATCCATCTGCAGGACCTGAAAGAGACCATGAGAGCAAAGCAAGTTCGATGATACTCCCCACGTTTCAGGTTCCTGGCACACAGACACAAAGCAGAAAGCTTCCCCCATCAGGGAGCTGCTTCAGGACATGAATTTTCACCTGGTAAAGCAGAAACATTTTAAGAGACACGACGTTTGGGACATTCTACTTTCAGCAATGATAGATTCACCTGACTATGCCAGTGTCCTTTCCACACTCAAGTCTCACGTAGACAGCTGCCATCCCCAAATAGCCACAACTGGTCTAAACCTTCAACCAGTTCTGTAGCAATGCTTACTTTGGCAGAAACAGAAGCATGTGGTGGCTTTGGGCCACTGTTGGATCATCCATAACTGAGAACTTTAGGCAGGAAACATACTCCTTTGTAAGAATTTACTCCTTTTATCATTTTGAAAGAAGATGGGAGAATTTTACCGTTTGGTTTCCATGAACAAGCCCACTTATCTACGTACTGATCTGTAGGGACGTGGCAGTTTAGGAGCTCTTTTGTGAATTAATTTACTGAACAGAAATCCTAAGCAACAAACGAGCCTACTCAATGCAAATGTACACTAGTCTGACACTAATTTGTAAATAAAATCCACTTTCTCACAGGAAAGCTACAGTCTACTTCTAAATGGCTTTCTTAATTTAGTCTCCAAGTCAAGTACTAAGACACACAGAGAAGTGAACATTGCCAAGGTGCATCTGCCAACGGATGTGGCTGGCCAGCCCTAACCCAGCACGACAAAAAGCACCTTTAAAAAGGCAGACGAAGATGACATCAGGAAGGAATACACATAGGGA